AAACGGTTGGCTTCTCCAGGGACTGTGGCTTCTCGAATCATGCCTGTGTCGTCTTGCGGTCAAGCCCAATTAAGGCAAATCTATGTAACAGTAGGGGACGATCGTCATACTTTAGGATCTATTCAATGACGGTCGTACAGTTGGATAGCGATTTCCCTTTCAAATATACCAGGGAAAGTGTTCTATGTTCTTCGTGTCCACAAACAAACAACGAATGAGGTCGATTTTTTCAGCGGTTGGCTTAATGTTACCCCAACAGATCGTTTGGGTGTGAGGTTTGTTATTTTCTCCCTCATTTGTAGGAAACTGTTTCTCAACCTGTCTATTTAGTTTCAAGCAGTGTTCAAGATGGTTACCCTCATATAGTAAATATCAGGTGGGGAATCACATTTATCATATTATCACTTGTACGCCAGCTGACTGTGGCCATTTTCAGGCTCAAATCATTCAGGGGAATCCAGACATGTACCAGACTACATTCTATGTCCCCTAATGCAATATAGACGGCGCAAGCGAGATTCAAAAGCCAACCAGTCAATCAAAGCAGTAAGCCAATTTGCTTGCGAGTTTGCAAATTGGCTGCCCCAATACTTCTGAGACTTGCTGTAATATCATCATAATATTCATGTACAATGAGGATTGATTTAAAAAAAAAAAAATATTTTCAATTTGGCACAGAATGAGAAAAAAATTCTGTTCAATTTGTTTTCTCAAAATCGACGAGAGCAGGCAGATTTTAATTTTTATTCTGAAATTGTCATTCAATTATTATTTTTCATGAAAAACTGAATTTGTTTTCATTTTTTATAAAACGATGAGAAAAAACAAAACTGTGCGCACGTGATGACGAAGGACACTGATATTTTTAGGTTAAAAGTATAATACTGCTGGTACTCAAATAATTCCGAGTTATGACAGCATGAGGGCGCTAGTCAGAATACAGGCTGGTATGAATGAACGTTACTAGTAACCGTGTTACAAATAAAGTAAAATCTATCCTACATAAATTTCGTCAACATTAGCAGCTCATAACTTTATGGAACACACCTTCTAGCAGCCTGTTCAATGGTTTCCCCGGTCTCAACTTTACCACCAAATCCATTCCAGTTACCAGCACCAAATCCACGCTTCTTCAGTCCTAACAGCACTTTCCCATCCTTTACTACGTAAACTATCGTCAAAAGTTTTTTACTTATCACTTCGTTCTCAGTTGACAATGGCATCGTGGGTGATCTGGTCTATTGAACACAGCATACGCGTATCGTCAGTAGCGATCGCAAACACTCTCTGCGAAAATCACCGATTTACCGCGGCAAAACAATCAATGAAAAAATACAGCTGACGATTTTGTAACACTGCCACCAACGGTGAATGTTCATACATCTTTCGTTCAAATTGTCAATGAAACAGAGCAAAATATTAATGAGAATCTCAATCTATATCAGTTTCATAACAAGCTATTATAATTTCTTTACAAGCTAAACAAAAGACATGAATTAAACCTAAATTTATTGCAGATGGCAAAATTCATGAATGTCATTAATGTCGCTCCCTACAGGACAAATATTGTTTCAACACGTATAACAGTTCAGTATGCAACGTCAGAAAGACATAGAACACTGAATTCGAATAGAGTCTTTTCTGTATGAACTGATATTATAAACTTATTTGTTTAAAAAAAAATTAAACAAGTTATTTATCAAATAAATCAAATTTTATTGGAACATGAACTACAATAATTCAGTTTTAAACTGAATGGAAAAAAACAATGAACAACACAAAGCAGCAATGCTGCATCAATAAAACATTTCCATTTAAAATACAGTTTACTTTTTAACTCTTGTTTACTGATCTCAACTACTTCTGAACTGTTGAAAATAACTTGTTATTGTATCGACTTGTTCCACTCTATGACTTAGTATAGTATTATGTCCCTTATAGAGGAAATAGCCGTAAAAATTGACTCCGCGAAGCATGTATGGAAACCAGTGCTCGTCATCTAACCACATTTGGTTGAAGGGTAGTGAATCGACTTCAAACCATTGAGGCTGCATTTCTATGGTAGAAAAATAAAAAAATAGCAAATTAGCTTCCATATATCCATTGAGGATAAATTGATTTAAATTGCATGACAGGCAATTTTGATTTGCCACTCTGAATAACTATTGTTGGCTAAGACTGGAAGATTGATGAACAACAATGTATAAACAACTGTAATTTGTGATTTTCATGTGAAAAACTAAATTTTAGATGTGAAATATCAAAATTATTAGACACTTAACAAAAGCAATATACAATATACTTTGATCAAAGTAACAGTATTTGTTTTATTAGAATCACATCCTCCAAAAGTAGACCAGAGCTAAAAAATTTTGTTTTCACGGATTTTAAAGTTGCATTCTGAGAGCATTCACAGAACTTTATTGGGGGTCTTCAGAGTGTTATCTGAAATATTTGATGCTTTGATGAAATTGCACAATATTTGTGAAATATACAATAAATTTTCAAATTATAGCACAGAGGAATGTTGGTAACCGTTTCCGCTTCCCATTTTATTATATGTTCAAATTGTCCATGCGGATTCTTTTTAGTAGTATTCAAATGCACATTGATTCACAAAGATTCACTTTAATTTTAATTACTACAGGACTAAGCAATTCAAATCCCTTCACTCCATGCAAAATCTGATCATCAAATATGTCATATGACAGTCCACAAAAAAGTGCAAACAACCTCCCACAAATGCTCTCAGAATGCAACTTTACTTTTATTAAGAGCATTAAACTCCCTCTGATCAATTTTAGCTCAAGTGAAACTGTGAACAGCAGTGCATTTGTGGGAGGTTGTTCAGATCATTGAAATGTTTAACTTATAATTTAATTAATACAAGTATCTAGAAGATTTGAATTTCTGGGGAAGGTAACTCTCACCTTCTGATTCTATCACTTGACCCTTGTACGAGTTTGATTTATAAACATGAACCTCCAACACTTGCGGATCATCTTCAAATTCAAAATCAATCAGACCAATCCGTTCAAGATTTTCACTTGTTATACTACATTCCTCGTTAAGCTCTCTATAAAAATAAATGAATGTTTAGGTATTGAGAAAATCTAGAAACAAAAAATAATAATTAATATCATCATAACTATGCATGTTCTCTCTTATTATGTGTTATTTTTATCTATTGTTACATAGTTGGCTTTCATGACTACCAAAAATTAATATAACTAGCAGATACTAAATAATATGATAAAATAAAATATATGATGAAATAATTAAATATATATTTAAAAATAAAAATAAAAAAAAAGAAGCTCAAACTAGGATCTTATTTTACTAGTAATAAAATGCTATTTGTGTAAATGTGAAACTAGGAGTACTGAATCTATGTTCTATTTTTTGTTGTTCATTTAATTTTTATTCAAGCTCATCCAACTCGATTATAGTGCAAGTGTATTTATTCAGATGAGTTGAAAAGTTTATATGCTGTAGAAAAGCAGCAAATGAAAATGTAAATAAAACACAGATAGTAGGCCGTTTTTGTTGTTGTAATCTTTACTCAGAAAAACAAAACACTAATTGTAAATACCTGTGCGCGGCTTGTTTGATGCTTTCACCGGGTTCCACTTTTCCACCAAAACCATTCCATTTTCCTCGACCAAAACCTCTCTTTTTCAAACCCAGCAAAATCTTAGTTTGTTGTTGTATGAACACCAATGTGAGTACTTTCTTGGTGAAACTGTTAGACATAATGG